GAGGTGGGGCAGGAGGGGGACGGGAGGGCGAGGGAAAGCGGCCCCGCTCCCGGAGACCCCGCCAGAGGGAGGAGGATGCTTTCCGAGAGGCTGCTTCTGGCAGGGAGCCCCCGGGATGAGCGGAGGGCGAGCACAGGGTGGAGGCAGGGGGGGATTCTTCAAAACGATTCAATAAACCAGACCAAAGCTTTCGGAGAAGGCGAACGGGGAGCAGCACCCCGCCGGGTCCTTCCAGCTGGACTCCGCCGTCGCTGACCGCCCAGGAGGGAGCGAAAACGCCCCAGCAATTTCAGTTTGAATGTCACAGACCTTTTAATTGAGATAGAGTTTGTTGGGTTTGTTTAAACACTGTTTTTATTTTATATTTCTTTTTGCTGGTACTGAGCGAAACTTAGTTGGAATTGGATGTTATCGGGGGTTTTTTCTCAGTTGAACTCGTCCGAGCCCGGCCCCATCGGATGTCTGAGCATCTCGGAGCGGTGGGCTCGGGGCTCTGCCCTTCCGACGGGCTCGGCTCTGGTTTTAAAACGTTATTTTTAAATTCTTTCTTGGGGTGGGAGGGAGATGGAGGGGGCGGTCACAGTGCTTGAGTGGTTTTGAGGGGTGTTTTTTTTCCTGTGCAAAGCCGTTCCGGTCACAGTACGGTCGACCCGGCTTAGAACCGCGCCAAGGAACAAGGTCAGTGTCTCCACCCAGCAATAACCACCGGCGCGGGGAGGTAGAGAGGACAAGGAGCACCGGGAGGGAACTCCGCCGCGGGCGCGTGCAGCCCTACGGACGCCCGCCCGCCATCACTCCTTCTACCTGAGCAAGCTACTTCCGTACTACCTCTGTTCCGCTGAATCGGATTAACTCGGCTCCATTTTGCTGAGCCACGTAACCGACCTTAGGCTGAGGAATATTAAAAGGTATTTTTGATAATAGGGCTAAAGAGCGAAACGTTAAGAAAAAACGAACCCGTAGCTAACTTACAGACTTGACGTGGTCCACTACGTTCCCTTCTCCCACGTCCCAGCCCCTGCGGCGCGGGATGAACCGCGCGCTCCCGCTCCCGTCCCGCAGGGC